TGGCATAGACGAGTGAGCACTTCCAGTGCTGCATCCATTTGTTGAAACATGTCAGCATCCTGGAGCCTTGTTTTTCGCCAGTGCCTTCAGTGCAGCTTGGACTCTTTCCTTCAGTACCATTGGTTCTAGATCATATGCTACCGCCTGTAATGACTGAATGTCAACCAGTTCTTTTTGGTACGGTGACTGTATTCCTTCCATTTTCTTTTGATGCTTTGTGCGTCGTTCAATATTTTCCCTGTAGAATCCCTCAGAATTGCAGCTTGAGGCTTGAATTTTTTCTTCAGTTCTTTCAGCTTCAGAAATGCCTAGAGCATTCTTTCCTTTTGTTTTTCTAACTCCAGGTCTTTGCACATATCATTATAATACTTTATTTCGTCTTCTTGAGCTGCCCTTTGAAATCTTCTGTTCAGCTCTTTTACATCATCATTTCTTCCCTTCGCTTTAGGTACTTGACTTTCAAGAGCAAATTTCAGCATCTCTTTTGACATCCATTTTGGTCTTTGCTTTCTTTCCTGTCTTTTTAATGACCTCCTGCTTTCTTCATGTATGATGTCCTTGATGTCATTCCACAACTCATCTGTTCTTTGGTCATTAATGTTCAGTTCATCAAATCTGTTCTTGAAGTGGTCTTTCAGTTCAGGTGGAATATACTCAGGGTCATACTTTGGCTCGCGTGGACTTGTTCTAATTTTCTTCAGCTTCGGCTTGAACTTGCAAAGGAGCAGTTGATGGCCTTGTTCTGACTCATGATATTGAGCTTTTCCATCGTCTCTTTCCACAGATGTAGTCAATTTGATTCTTGAGTATTACATCTGGCAAGGTCCACTGTTTAGTCCCTGTTTATGTCGTTGAAAAACGTTATTTGCAATGAAGAAGTCATTGGTCTTGAAAAATTCTATCATGCAACCTCCGGCGTCGTTTCTGTCACCAAGGCCATATTTTCCAACTACCGATTCTTCTTTGTTTTCAGCTTTTGCATACCAATCACCAGTAATTATCAATGCATCTTCATTGCATGTTTGATCAGTTTCAGACTGCAGAAGTTGGTAAAATTCTAGGGAAGGATCTTAGCAAATCCAAAAAACTGAGAGAAAAATGCTGGATGACTTGAGTGCAAGTCAGTCTAGGAGAAAGAATGTCGAGATCAGTCTAGAGAAGTAAACAGAACCCTGATTGCCAGGGGCTGGTGGCTCGTTTTAGAGACTATGGATTTTGTTCCAAGAGCGCTGGGAACTCGTCAGTGGTTTTACACAGTGGAATGCTGTGTGGTTAATGGATTGGAAGATGGGACGACAGAGTGGAGAGTGCAGAAAGGATGCACTAAAACAGTGGTAGCAATATGGATGGATAGAAGCTGATAGATTTGAGATATACCTTGGAGGTAGAAGTAACAGATCTTGGTGATGAATCTGATACAGAAATTTAGGAGGAGTGTGATAGTTAATTTGATGTGTCAGCTAAACTAGGCTATGTTTCTCAGTGGTTTGACCAGGTACTGGACTGGTTGTTGTTCAGTAATAAAATATAAGGTAGAAGCAGCAGTCAAGAAATTAAACAATGCATTGCATTGGGCAGATATGCTGCAAGAGACCTCTTTAAAGTGTTAGTAAGCAAAGATGTCACTTTGAGGACTAAGGTGTGCCTGACTCAAGCGTGGCTATTTTCAACTGCCTTACATGTATGCGAAAGTTGGACAATGAGTAAGGAAGACTGAAGAAGAAATGATGCCTTCGAATTATGGTGTTGGCGAAGAATATTGAATATACTGTGGACTGCCGGAAGAATGAATAAATCTGTCTTGGAAGAAGTACAGCCTTAATATTCATTAGAAGCAAGGATGGTGAGACTTCGTCTCACATACTTTGGACGTGTTGTCAGGAGGGATCAGTCGCTGGAGACGGGCATCATGCTTGGTAAAGTAGAGGGTCAGTGAAAAATAGGAAGACCCTCAACGAGATAGATTGACACAGTGGCTGCAGCAGTGGGCTCAAACTTAGCAACGATTGTGAGGATGTTGCAGGACAGGGCAGTGTTTTGTTCTGTTGTATATAGGGTCGCTCTGAGTCAGAACTGATCTGATGGCACCTAACAACAATAATAACATAGAGGGAAAAAATGCCAAGTCATACTTTTGAAAAATTTGCCTTATGTTTGTCAGAAAGTAAAATAAGAGAGAAGGAAAGTATTAACATTCACGTTTCCAGTGACTCATCATTTTGTATTGGTTTTATGTAAAGTGGTAGATACTTTTATCGTTCCTTAATATTGTTGTGTAAGTCTCCCTGAAAATGCTACTGAAAATAGTTTGCTTTCTTTTCAATTTTTATTTAAGTGTAAGTTTGTGTCTTTTAATATTTCATGAAATGCCTGACCAACCAGTAGAGATGACTTAAAGAGTGGGACACCCGAGGAAGGTTGTTTTTGGATAGGTGAAAATTATGTGCATGACCTTTCAGTTTTGCTTCCACATTGTATTTCTTTTATTTCTGGGAGTGACGAGTAGTTGAATAAAGTGTAAGTTTTATTGTGTGTAGCATATTCACTCACACACACACAGAACCGTAGGATTCTAGAACTGTAACGAGAATTTGAGTAGTTGAAATTCTCTTAGAAACCAAGTCTCAGCAGAGTGAGCATTTCAGTGTGGGTTACATAGCTTGCATAGAGTTGGAACTGAGAAACAGAAAGAAATCTCTGGTTTCTCAGTTCATTGCAAGGATCCTGTAGTGTCTCGTAAGCAGATGCATTTCTTCAAATGGATGTTTCGATTGGCTCACTGCTTGAGTGTTCTTTTTTAACAGAAATACGTCTGCCTGTTTTCTTTAACAGTTGTTTCGAGAAGTACGAATCATGAAGATATTGAATCATCCTAATATAGGTATGAAATTTATATATACAATTGATAATGATGTATTTTCTTTCATTTGAGGGTATTTGAAAAAATACGATTTTAAGGATGTTTTACCTAAACAGAAGAAAAGTAATCTGAATGATAAACTGAAAAAGTAATACTTTGGGTAAAAATAAGTAATAAGAAAGCTAACTGAACGTTATAAATTGCTATTTTCTACCGTCTTTCTGTCTAATGCTCTCCACTAAAATTATGCGTATGACTTGGAATTAAAGTTAATACATAAAAATATAGTTTTTTTATCTCCTTACTAAATCTAAGTAGAGAGTGCATGCCATTTAGGTATTTATAAAAAATGAATTTCATATAATTTGATAATATACACTTGGGTTTGATCATAGTTGATAGACAAAAAACTAACTTGCATTTTTAACAAAGTTTAAAGTTGATTTCAATTTTAGTAAATTTATTTCTGTAAGTTCTGAATATTTCCCTATATCTACAAATAAATTTATTGATCAGAGATGTTACTATATGAAATAATTTGACTGTAATAGGTGAAAAACAATTCTTTTAATCTGTTTATTTTTGAACACTTGTTTTTTTGCACATTTAAAAATCTTGTCTTTATCAAAGGTATTAACGTGAGTATTTGTTGGGAATAGTTTCAACTCTATCATTCTGATAATTTGGTAGTTGTTTTTAACCATATACTTTTATAACATCACATAAATATAAAAACATTTTTTAAATTTTTCTTCCTATGCCAAAGACTGTTTAACATTGAATCACATAGTCTCTTGTAAGCTTTAGTTAAACTTTTTAATTATTACTCTGATTTTAAGAGTCTCCTTTTCACTACCTTATTTTAATTAGAAAAAAGCAATTTTTTTTTCAATCCCAGAAATTTAACTCTCTTTTGAATCAGCAGTTGGTTCCAGATCACTTAGTGGTCAGTAGTTTTTTTTCCCATAGGACTAATAACCCTTGGAAAATTTTTTTAATTTAAAATTGTGATTAATAATTTTTTATAAATCCTCTAAAATTTTCTGTTGATTTAGTGTTGCTTTACATTTCTTAAAGCACATTCAGACTATGCTAACAATTATAGAGTTATGTCTCTTAATTTCTTTTTTCAGTAAAATTATTTGAAGTTATCGAAACAGAGAAGACCCTCTATTTAGTCATGGAATACGCCAGTGGGGGTAAGAATGAGGGGGATTGAAAAGTTATCTTTGATGAGCCATAAAGAATTATCAATGCCTAAAGGTTCATTATAACATTGATGTCCTCATTATCGTTAATAGATCTACAGTTTTATTAAAATGCCTTTGAAGCATATCTTAAGGAAAATTCAGTGTTTGCTTTGAAGACTTATTTAGCTTAAATTTAATTATTGAATTTTTTACTTACTTTAAATTACTTAGGGACATCTTCCAAAACTCTAACTTCACCTTGTCATCTATTAATGTTTCGGTTCGCTTGTCTAAGTATTATTATATTATAATAATATATCATAGTATTGTTATGATTAGAAGCTTTTGGTTATAAGCAGGGAGAATCTCCAACACAGAATGTATTCAGTAAAGTTTATAGTAAAAGCATGTCCTAGGTCAGATATTTATTTTACTGGTTGTTCATGTATGACAGATTCTCAATAAACAAATTTTCAAGATAATCCATTAAATGTTTCAATTTAAACAAGTTTTGATCTATGTAATTTTATAAGGTAGAAGACTGAGTTGACAGGACGGTAGCAGGATGCCATTTGTCATAGAATACGATGTGCATTTTGACAACCATAGTGTCAAAAAATAGAATGATTTTGAAACACTGGTATGTAATGGAAAATCACTTTCTTGTCCTGCACTTTCTGTCAGATGAGAGATACCGGCTCAAAATCACTGTTCTCTTAGGCAAAGGGCTTAACTTTCTCAGAAACAGGTTTAAAATTTGTGGAGTTAAACCATTTACTAAGTGAAAAACAATACTTAAAGGAAGGTATTAAGGGTTTGGGGAATTGAAACAATTGATGAAGAGGGAGGAGAACTGAAATTATGTAAACTGCTTTGGCTAATTGACTATTCAGTGATTTGCTGTTCCATAGAAAACCTGAGTGTTGAGCCCTTGTAGCTAATAAAGTTTATAGATTTTCATAGTACTTCAGTTTTTATATAAACTAGAATAAAGAGGATTTATTCTGTTCTAAGCATCTGAACTATGTGTTTTTACATATAGATTTCTAAAAATTTTTTTATTACAAATATTAAATCTATTGTAATTGTTGTCTTAGTTGTCTGTGCAGATTGAATGTTTTAGTAGATTTGTTTTTGGCAAAGCTTTTTCATCTTGAAAATATTTCAGTGTAGGTTTTTTGATGTTGCTTAACCTGACGACCTATGCCAGTGAAGTTTATTATTACAGGATTTTAAAAATATATATTAATACAGCCATGCAAATGTACACAAAATTTAGGTCTATAATAAAACTATAAATCTACAATTACCACATAATGAACTGTTTCTCTTTTTTTCCTATCCTTTGGATTAGATTTCTGGAACAGTCTGCAGCATTGGGAACCCTAGTATTATTTTTTGTCCAGTTCAACTCTTTTTTTCCTTTTCCCATGATCAAAAGTTTAGAGAAAGGGGCTTAGATATGCTTTGATACAAGTGGAGCCCTGGTGGCTCAGTGGTTAAGAACTTGGCTGCTAACCAGAAGGTCGGCAGTTTGAATCCACCAGCCACTCCTCGGACACCCTATGGGGCAGTTCTGCTCTGTCCTGTAGGGTCCCTATGAGTCAGAGTCGACTCCATGGAAATGGGTTTTTTTGATACAAGAAATTATAGACTGCTAAAAATTTGTGGAAGAAGCCTTAATGGCACAAGAGTCATGTGCTTGGCTGCTAACCCAAAAGTTCGGAGGTTTGTACCTACTAGCCACTCTGAGGGAGAAAAGACCTGGTGATCTGCTCCTGTAAATATTTACAAAAAAACAGAAAAATCCATTGCCGTGGAGTCGATGCCGACCCTGTAGGACAGAGTAGAACTGCCCCGTAGGTTTCCAAGGAGCAGCTGTTGGATTCAAACTGCTGACCTTTTGGTTAGCAGCCGAATGCTTAACCACTGCACCACTACGGCTCCCCTGTAAAGATTATAGCCTAGGAAACCCTATGGAACAGTTCTGTTCTACTGCTATGAGTTGGAATCAGCGGCACACAACAACAACAAAAATTCGTGGACTCTTTTCGGTTTTTATAAAGGTCTGCAAGGCTGGGTTAATATTAACATGTATACTGTTTTAAAGGGAAACCCTGGTGGCGTAGTGGTTAAGAGCTACGGCTGCTAACCAGAAGGTCGGCAGTTCGATTCCCCCAGGCGCTCCTTGGAAACGGTATGGGGCAGTTCTGCTCTGTCCTATAGGGTCGTCATGAGTCGGAATTGACTCAGCGGCAATGGGTTTGGTTTGGATTTTTGGTATACTGTTTTGATGGTTAATGGTAAGTACAGTCAACTCTCTATTGGTGCTAATGAAGGGGAACAATGGCTAGAATAATACAGAGCACAGAGGTTATCACCGCTCTCCTTCTTAGCATAGTCGGGAGAGGCAGTGCCGTACAGTGTGGAGAGATGGTACTGGATTCAGCCCAAACCAGCTGGTCCCTCTGTCAATTCTGATTCCTGGTGATAGATTTTCTTTAGCACTGGGGACTTGCCAATCAGTAATCCTGTAAGAAAAGCAGCATGGTTCAGTGGCAATAAATGTAGAAGCATTTTCTTGCCTTTTTAATCTGTAAACAATGGCAGGGTGACTCTGGCAAATAAAACAATAGTTTTCCTCTGAAATTTCTAGACGTTTTAAGATTGAATCTGACATGCACACAGAAGTTGAATCAGACAGACTACCTCTTTGCCAGGAATAGATCAGTTGATTTGGGTTCACTAATGAGGTGGGAGATGCAGTGATTAGGAGAGCAGCAAGCAGCTCCTTTATGACTTTGCACCATCTTTAGTCCAGAGGAGCCTGTTAAAAGCAGATGTCGGACTACTCTGAAATGGTGTGTTTATCCCTTCCTTCGTTCATGCAAACAAGATTTATTAAATGCTTACTCTGTACCAGATAATATTCTGGGTGCTAAGAATACAGTGGTGATCAAAGACAAAGTCCCTGGCCTCAAGAAGCTTACATGCTTGTTGGGGAGGCAAATCATAAAGACATACTATATAATAAGTGAAAGACTGAGTCATTTAAGTATCTGGAGTATGAGCATCCCAGGCAGAACTTAAGAGCAGATCCACATTTTTTAATTCTTGGGTAAGTGTTCCCCAGCCTAACTCACATGTCTAGAAGGATACTAATTAGCTGCTGTGGCGGGTGGACTCGAGCATCCATCCATCTCTCTGTGGTCATCGTCCCATTTCGTCACCTAACTATGCTGGCTATACCTGCTTTCTAACATTGTAAATGTGTTAGTCTCGTCTGGCATACCTCCACTACACATTTGATATGGAATGTTTTACTCATATCCTAGGATTGATACTGCATATATGTATAAGTGACATATCCATATACCAAGGTACAACTGTGTCATTTATTAAGTGCTTACTGTATGCCAGCCACTGTGCCAGCACATGCATTATTTCATTAATCCTCATTAACAGCCATGTGAGGTAGCCGGCAGAAGGTAGAAACTGGGTCTTAATGAAGTTGAGGCATTTTCCTAATGTCACCACCCAGTAGCTGCTTGGTGGCTAACCCAAGTTTCAGACCCCAGATTTTCTGATTCTAAACTCTGAGGTTTTAACCACTGTGCTGTACTTTATAAGAGCTCTTTAAGCCATTTTGTGAGTTTTTAATAATCATGTATTTCCATATATATTGCAAGCTACTATTATAAGGACATAAATTTCTTAACTCTTCTTGCTCTAGAGTTAATATTTTACTTTTAATATTGTATCTAACTGTAATTTGCTTTTTTAATATTATTGACTAGAGAAAATGAAAACTAAAAAAAAAAAAAGCTTACGGGCTTTTGCAGAAAACCATGTAGTGGATCCAGTAGAAAATGCCCACAGTTTCTAGTTCTTTTTAAATTATTTTAACAAATATTTATTGTCTGTCCACTTTGTGTTCTGTCATGGGCATGAGGGTCCAAGTGAAGTATGTTTATCATGATAGTGTTCAAAGAGTATACAGTTCCTTTGGGTAATAGGAGACACACAGGAGTGATTTAATTCTGTATAATTTATAGGTAAGTACCAAAATATGTGAAATGAGTTAGAGTGAGAATAAGCATAATCAGCGTATAGGAAGGAAAAGAAAGAAATCAGTGTGGCTGGAAGTAGTGAGGTAGAATTTGACCAAGACTGTATGACGGTAGAACTCAAAAGAGAGAGCCTACATAATATGACTTCATTACTTTGTTTGAAATGTAGGCTGCAAATTCAAAGCCAAATGTAATGTTTTGATTGCCCATGTTGTCCCTTTATTAGAACGGGCAATAAAGAGTTGACTGTATTTTTATACAATACTTGAAAACAGAAAGGAAATTTTCTTGGTTATGTTTTTATGACTTATTTTTGTAAAGAGTTTTGCTAAGACATAAGCTGCTACAGATACTCAATTCTGTATGTATTTTTTTCCATTTTTCTACTCAGCATATTAATTTGTGACTTACGTAGACCTAGCAGAAAATTGTGGGACAAAAGTTTTTTTTTTTAGAAACAAAGCAAAAACTTGAAATTGCATATATTGTAAATTGAAAATCTATGTATATTTTACTACCTGCTTTACCTTTCTTATTCAGGTGAAGTATTTGATTACTTGGTTGCCCATGGAAGAATGAAAGAAAAAGAGGCCCGTGCAAAATTTAGGCAGGTATGGAAAGTAGTTTTTAACTTTGTTTTTATGGTATTTTTACTGATGAACAGTTGACAGTATCACAAACTGGAATTCAGAGTTTATGGTATTTTAAAAAGAAAAATTCCTGCTTTCTTAAACACTTTTTAAGAATGAAAATCTCCTGAAAAAGAAATCTGTTCGTCTTTAATTTAAATTAAAAATAGTTGCAGATGATTAATTTTAGATAGTCTTAAATAGTGAAATTTTTACAAATGGGACTCTCCTTATCAGCTCGTTGGGTATCTTGGAAATATACGCTAGAATGAGATAAGAACAGAAGGACATTGTTATCAAGTACGCTTAGCTTTATGTATATGGCGTATGTGTGTACTATTCAGAGAAAGTGTATCACTTTCTTTTATAATTTAAGATGTGTTGATATTAGAACTCATATTTTTGTAGATTTAAAGGATGTGATCAATTTTATTTAGCCAAGTAAGCATGGAACCTTGCAAATGTGGCAGACGAATATGGTAAGATATTCACATTTCCAGTTCAACTTGAATAAGACTTGTTAAAACAAATTATAAAAAAAGAAATAGTAAGTAAAAAATAAAATTTTTAGGAATGAAGTGATTAAAATAAGTATATTTTACACATTGCTAAAAAATGACAAATTAGTAAATTGTAAATTGTTCATAAAATTTACTGAAATAAAATTTCAGCACCAAGCTTAACTAAATCCAAAACTTTACCTCAGCGAATTTAAAATCTTGCATTTAAAAGTGGCTCAATACCTCATCTCTAAGTATGAAGTCCACAATTAAAGGCTCCTGTAATCAAACAGTTTGAGAAATAACAAATAATGATATAAGATCTTCCTCTAAGAGATTTACATGTATGTTACCATATTTTAAAAATCTGAGAAGTCCTGAAGGGGAGAGGAGGGAAAAACCTGTTTACCAGTTTTGTTTTGTTTTTTTTTTTGGTGTAGAACCAGACATAACCCGTTGCCGTCGAGTTGATTCCAACTCATAGCAACCCTATAGGACAGCGTAGCACTGCCCTGTAGGGTTTCCAGGGAACAACTGGTGGATTCGAACTGCTGACTTTTTGGTTAACAGCTGTAGCTCTTAACTACTGTGCCACCAGGGCTCCAAAACCAAACATAGCATTCCCAAATTCTTTGACCATAGAGTAAGTTTGTTTGTTTTTAAAACCTGTATTATCAGTATCTCACAGAATTAATTACTTTTAGGAACACAATTTGAGAATTGCTGTATACCAAAGACACACATAGTCCTTCTGTAAAGGATAGATCCCTGGAAGCATTCATCTTAAAACAGAGGAATCTAAAGACAACTGGTGAGGAGGAAGCAACCCTGAAAAACGGAATCGTGTTCAGCTACACACTGCTCAGTTCTTTCCTGTCCTGGATAAGAACCCAGGCTTACCCTTGAGTAAAGTACCACAGCCATCATTTTCAATATTATTGGTCTTTAAATATCAGTCAGTCACAGTAGTTTTACTAGCAGACCAGCAAGAAAATTCCAGATGACATTTTATTTTCCTGTTGGGATAATAATGTATATTAAAGACCTTTGCTACTTACCTTTTTTATTTTTTTTGTTCTTTTTAATTAGCTTGTTTTATTTATTGAAAACATACATGTGTAGAAAAATGTACTGGGCACTATGGAATTAGAGAAGTTGAAAATTCCTGCTATTTCAAAGAACTTGCCATATTTTATAGCTATCTAACTAAAAGTTGTATTTGTTATTAAATTTACTTTCCAGGACCTCTGTTATCCTTTAAGAATGTAGTTAAAAGTCATAAAGAATTAATAAATGCACATTTTCTTTTTTTCTGTACCTTATGAAATTATTTTTTTTTATTTTAATAGTGAAAGAATTTACTGTACACTAGCAAGGATGTACATATATATGTCATTGACCCCCCCATCAGATGTGCCAGAAACACTAGGACAGTTTATGACACTTTAACAGCCTCCGCCTATACACTGTCTCTATATTCCTTATGGTTTGAGGGCCTACAAGGAGATTGTAGTATGGATTCATTCTTCCAGTGTCAGGGCTACTATTTAAAACATGGGGATTTCTAAGGAATTACAAAGCAGCCCCAACAGCTGCACCTCACTGCAAAACACTGACCTTGTGGTCTTTAGTTCCCTATAGGGCAGGTGGTGAATCATATTTTCCAGATCTATAATAAAAGGATTATAGAAACTTCCTAACTCCCATTTATGGAGGTACAGAGTGTTTTGAGATGGGAGCGTCAGACCATAGCATGATGCAGTAAAATTTAGGCTTGTGAATGGGGATTCCTGCGGTGAGTCAGAAGCAAAATATGCCAGAGCTTCTCTTTCATGGCAGAAAATGGTGCACTGCTGGGCAAGTACAGTAGTAGCGTAAACCACCACTTTTGGTTGTTAGCTCAGAGGCCATAGAGTTTGAAGAGAACGCATGCTGAATATAGAGTGTTCTCTTTAACTCTCTTTCCAGTCTTAAAGCTTTGGCTGAGGACGTTTGGGCTTCCAGAAGTGCCTAGAGAACTGCTTTCATAGAGAACATTCTGTCTGATGTGAAATGCATGACCTCTGGTCATGTTAGGTAACTCAATCATTGTCCCTAACATGCCTTCACTGTGTCACTCCAAGCACGTGACTTGTGAAAGGTAATACCATAATCAGCAAATTTCTGTCATCCATGGTACAAAAATACCCTTATAGTGTGAACATACTTAGCCTGTATTGGAGCCCTGGTAGTGCAGTGGTTAAAAGCTTGACTGCTAACCAAAAGGTAAGCAGATTGAATCCACCAGCTGCTCTTTGGAAAACCTGTGGGGCAGTTCTGCTCTGTCCTATAGGGTCACTGTAAGTCAGAATTGACTCAACGGCAACTTTTTTTTTTAATAGCCTGTGTTGTTTGTTCCGTAAAATATATTAATATGTACATAAAAATTTATGTGTCTCTTGGCTAATAAACATTTTAATGTGTTTAACAAAAATTAGATTTTAGAATTTCAGAGCATATAGTTTAAGAAAACCAATACTACGATTATTATTCATTAACTTCAGCTATATGTTGGAGACTCACACTTCAGATTGATCATAATCATTCACAGTCACCTTGCTAAAAATGTTTAGTGGTTCAGCAGTACCTGCACGGTTTGAGTTCAGAGTCTTTTACCAATCTGTCTATTGAGGTTTAACCCCCACTACCACCACTTTCCCACCTACATGTCCACTGTTCCTCAAATATACTGTATTCCATCATCCGTAATGCATTTCACCACCTTACCCTCACCTACAATTTCACATTTCAAAATATTATTATCCCTCAAGGGGAGGAGCCCTGGTGGCACAAGCATGCGACTGCTAACCAAAAGGTCAGCAGTTCAAACCCAGCATTTGCCTGAGGGAGAAAGATACGGCAGTCTGCTCCTGGAATGATTTACAGCCTTGGAAACCCTATGGGCAGTTGTCTTCTGTCCTGTAGCGTCACTATGAGTTGGATTCGACTCAGTGGCAGTGGGTTTGGTTTTTTGGTGTCTTCCAAGGATCGTTTAGTTGAAATAGCTCCTACTCCAGGAAGCATTTCCAAGTGAAATTATTCTTTATTTTTTAGGATTCATTACTGCTATGTACCTCTGCTTCTGTCACTCTGCCTTGTTTTATAGTTAACCACATTCTTGTTTTCTTGTCCTGATTAGATTGTAAGCTCCTTAAGGGCAAGGTCCAGGTAGTGTTTATCTTTATATTCCCCCAGCAACCAGCACATTTTCTTGCACATAGCAGGTACTCAATAAACATATGTTGAATTGAAATGAATATTTAATTGCATTACGTATTACTCATTATGCGTCGATTTTATTTTGCATTCATGTCTCCTGTCTTTGAAGCATTTTTGATACATGTTTGAATAATTTGATAATACTGAAATATCAGTTTTACTTTTACCACTTTGAAATTCTTTTCTTTTTTTAACCCATATTCCTGTTGTCATGGTCATACTTTACATCACCTCTAGACTTAAAATCTCATTTCTGTTTCCATTTGTCACTGCCTTTCCAACATTCAACATTCAAACTGTGTTTAACTGAGTCCACAGAATTGAATGTTCTGTTGTGCATTAAAATGGTTGTCTTCCTGTATATCAGATATTATTATATGCACAAAATAATGCTTAATTGGTTGCTGTCACAATTCAAATGTACCAAATAACTCTGAATTGTTAAGTACATAACTATTATAGAATTGTTTACGTCTGCTTCTCATTTGTATTTTTTGGCCCTTAAATTGCTAAGTTCCTCCCTGTTTGGCCCTTGTCTCCAAAGAGCCCTAGGTAATGGTTAAAAATTATGGCACATAGACAAAATCTACTTAACAGAAATGGAAAACTTTGCCCAAGCAGGTGTCAGATTAAATTTCATTATCCCCTCTTTTCTTTTGATGACCAGGTTCTTTTTAAGTCTCAAAAAATTCCCCTTCTGTTTTGTCTGTTTCATGTGAACAGACAGACACAGGATGGTGATAAGCTCTTTGTAAATTGGCTTCACTAAGGCAACATGCCTTGAACTCATTGGATACAATTCCTAGAATAGAGTTTTAATTTTAGAACTCAAGACAACTTTCTTGAAATATTGATTCATGAGTACCAAATGTCTTTTTCTAACACTGGTATAAATCATTTGACCAAAGCTACAAATTGTACACATTTGATCACGTAAACAGAGAAATACAATCACAGCACATAAAAAATCCTCACAAACTCTGACAAAGACATAGTTTAGTCTCTTTTAGCAAGAGAATATTACTTTTCTATATTTTCAGCATTTAAGAGCACAAGTTTTATCACTTTGACGGTAATAGGTATAGTTTTCTGAATTAAAGGAGTAGTGAAATTGTTACCTTGAAATTTGTTAACTGTTTATCTAAATTGGAGGTCATGTTGGGGAAAAATTGGGATGCTTGTAACATAAAATCAATTTGAATTTTTATCCAAATATTTATTTCAGATTGTATCTGCTGTACAGTATTGTCATCAAAAGTGCATTGTTCACCGGGATCTTAAGGTAAGTAGCTGATTTTGTACCAAAAACATTCTTATTAACAGATATTTAATAATGTTAGAGCTATCCCTTTTGGTTGCTTAATCGTGCCAGGTATAATACAAGGTAATTATGTATTGTTGTTAATAATTTTATTTTGGTAAAATATATATAAAAGGTCATCTTAATCATTTTTAAGTGTACACTTTAGTGACACTAATTATATTCCCCATGTTGTATGCTAAAACCCCATTGCCATCGAGTCAATTCCGAATCATAGTGACCCTATAGGGCAGAGTAGAACTGCACCATAGGGTTTTCAAGGAGTGACTGGTGGATTTGACCTGCTGACCTTTTGGTCAGCAGCCAAGGTCTTAACCACTGTGCCACCAGGGCCCCTGTATAACCATCATCACTATCTGTTTCCAAAACTTTTTCAATACAGAACTTTTTCATCACCCCAATCAGAAACTCAATACCCCTTAACCAGTAGCTTCCCTTTCTCCCTGTCTTAGTTTCCTAGGGCTGCCACAGGTGAGTGGCTTTAAGAACAGGAATTTTTTGTCTCACAGTTCTAGGGGCTAGAAATCTGAATTTGGGGCATCATACTCTCTCTCTGTCGACTCAAGAGGAAGATCCTTTCTTGTCTCTTCCAGCATCTAGTAATCTGAGTGTTTCTTGGCATCCTTGGCTTGTAGATGTATCTTTACATGGTGTCTTCTCCCAGTATGTGACTCTTGTCTTACTGTTTCTTCTCCCCTTTTATAACACACCACTCACAAGGGATTAGGACATGCCCTACTCCAGTAGGAGCGCTGATGGTGCGGTGGTTAAGAGCTCTGCTGCTAACCAAAAAGTCAGCAGCTCGAAGCTACCAGCTGCTCCTTGGAAACCCTGTGGGGCAGTTGTACTCTCTCCTATAGGGTCACTATGAGTTGGAATCAACTCGATGGCAACGAGTTTGGGTTTTATGGGTACTCCAGTATGATGACCTTGTTTAGTTAACTGATGACATCTGCAAAGAAAAGCTGTATCTCCCTAAACAGGTTCACATTCAATAGTACAAGGGTTAGAACTTCAGCATGTCTTTTTGGGGGACACAATTCAATCAATAACACCACCCTCCCACAAAACCCTGATACCTACTAATACTTTTGTCTGTATAAATTTGCCTATTCTAGATATTTTATGTAAGTAGGATCATACAATATTTATTCTTTTGTGTCTGACTCATTTTGCTTAGCATAATGTTTTCAAGAGTTCATCCATCAGGACTTCGTTTGTCTTTATGGCTGGATATCCCATTGCGTGTATATACACATTTTGTTTATCCATTCAGCTGTTACTAGACCCATGAGTTGTTTCTGTCTTTTAGCTATTGTGAATAATGCTGCCATGACCATTGTTGTACAAGTCTCTGTTTGAATCCTTGAGTTCAGTTCTTTGGGGTGTATATATTCCTATGAGTGGAATTGTTGGGTCGTATGGTAAATTTATATTTAACTTTTTGAGAAACTACCAAACCGTTTTCCATGGTGGCTGCAGTATTTTACATTTATACCAGTAATGCACGAGAGTTCCAATTTCTCCGCATCCTTGTCAATACTTGTTTTTTGTTTTTCTAATAATATCCATCTTAGCGAGTGTGAAGTGGTGATTCATTGTAGTTTTGATTTGCATTTCCCCAATTGCTAATGACGTTGAGTATCTTTTCATGTGCTTATTGACCATTTGTATATCTTCTTTGGGAAAATGTCTATTCAAGTCCTTTGCCCATTTTTTAGTTGTATCATTCGTCTTTTTCTTGTTAATTTGTAGGAATTCATTCTATCTTCTGGATATTAAACTCCTGTTAGATTTAGGGATACCAAAATATTTTTCTCCCATTCTGTAGGCTGAATTTCTTCACTTTGTTGATAATGCCCTTTGATGTACAAAAATTATTAATTTTTATCAAGTTCAATTTATCTATTTTTTCTTGTGTTATTTGTACTTTTGCTGTCAAGTCTAAGAAACCATTGTCAAAAGCAAGGTCCTGAGGCATTACACCTGTGTTTTATTCTAAGAGTTTAATGGTTTTACTTTTTCTATTTAGGTCATTGGTCTACTTTGAGTTAATTTTCATATATGATGTGAGGTATGGGTCCAACTTCATTGTTTTGCATGTGGAGATCACTTGTTGAAGAGACTCTTCTTTCCCCATTGAATGGACTTGGCACCTGTATCAAAAATCAATTGACAATTGATGTATGCATTTCTGGACTCTCAGTTCTATTCTTTTGGTCCGTATGTCTATTCTTATACCAGTACCACACTGTTTTGATTACTGTAGCTTTGTAGTAAGTTTTGAAATTGAGAAGTGTGAGTCCTCCAACTTTGTTCTTTTCCAAGATTGTTTTTGCTGTTTGGGGCCCTTTGCATTTCCTATGAATTTGAGGATTGGCTTCTCCCTTTCTGAAGAAAAAAAACAAAAAAGGCTGTTGGTATTTTGATAGGGTTTGTGTTGAAACTATACATTGCTTTGGGTAGTGTTGACATCTTAATACTGTCTTCTAATCCCTGAATACAGAATGTCTTTCCTTTATTTAAAACCAAACCAAACCCATTGCCTTCAAGTTGATTCCGACTCATAGCGACTGTATGTATACAACAGAATAGGAGTGGCTGGTGGATTCGAACTGCTGACTTTTTGGTTAGCAGCTGTAGCTCTTAACCACTCTGCCACGAGGGCTCCTTCATTTATTTAGGTCTTCTTTAATTTCTTTCTGCAATGTTTTATGGTTTTCAGTTTACAAGTCTTTTCATCTCTCTGGTTTAATTTATTTCTAAGTGTTTTATTCCTTTAGATGCTACTGTAAATGGGATTCTTTTCTTAATTTCCTTTTCAGATTGCTCAGTGCTGGTGTATAAAAGCACAAGTGATTTTTGGGTGTTCATCGTGTATCCTGCAATTTTACAAAGTTCATTTATTAGCTCTTGTAACTTTCTTACAGAGTCCTTGGGATTTTCTGTGTGTAGGATTATATCATCTGGGAATAGAAATAGTTGTACTTCTTCCTTTCCCATTTGGATGCCTTTTATTTCTTTTTCTTGCCTCATTGCTCTGGCTGGAACATCCAGCACAGTGTTGAATATTAGTGGTGAATGCGGACGTCTTTGTCTTGTTCCTGATCTTAGAGGGAAGGCTTTCAGTTTTTCACCATTGCGTATGTCATCGGTGTGGGTTTTTCATAAAGGCCCTTTATCATATTGAGAAATTTCCCTTCTATTCCTAGTTTGCTAAGCATTTTTATCATGAAAGGGTGCTGGATTTTGTCAAATGTCTCTTCTGTGCCAATTGAGATGATCATGTGGTTCTTTTCCTTTGTTCTGTTAATGTGGTGTATTACGTTGATTGATTTTCTTAGGTTAAGCCACCCTTGTATTCCAGGGATAAATTCCACTTTGTCGTGGTGTATAATCTATGTGCTGCTGGATTTGGTTTGCTATTATTTGTTGAGGATTTTTACATCTAGATTCATAAAAGACTATTGGTTTACAGTTTTGTTACCTTGTGGTATCTTTATCTGGCTTTGATACCAGGGTAATGTTGGCCTCATAGAATGAGTTAGGAAGTGTTCCTTCCTCTTCTTTTTTTGGAAGACTTTGAGAAGGATTGGTGTTAATTCTTCTTTAAATGTTTGGTAGAATGCACCAGTGAAGTCATCTGGTTCTGGACTTTTCTTTGTTGGAGGGGTTTTGATTCAATCTTTTCACTTTTTCTACATCTGTTGGCATTTTCTGTTACTCTTTTGAGTCAATTTGGGTAGTTTGTGTGTTTCTATAAATTCTCCCGTTTCATCTAGGTTATCTAATTTGTTTGTGTATAGTTGTTCATAGTATTTATTAGGGATTGAATTGTGTCCCCAAAGATACGTGTTGTAAATCCTAACCCCTATACCTGTGGTTATATTCCCATTTAGGATTGGGTTGTCTTTGTTATGTTAATGAGTACATACCAGTATAGGGTGGGTCTTAAGCCAATCACCTTTGAGATATAAAAGGAGCAGAGAGGCACAGAGAAAGATGGAGGGAGATAGATGCCAAGTCACCCGAAGATCTCCAAGGAACAGAAGCTGAAAAGAGATAAGGACCTTCCTCCAGAGCTAACGGAGAGAGAAAGCCCTCCTGTAGAGCTGGAACCCTGAATTCCCACTTCTAGCCTCCTAACTGTGAGAAAATAAATTTCTGTTTGTTAAAACCACCCACTTGTGGTATTTCTGTTATAACAGCACTAGATAACTAAGACAGTCTAGCTAAAGATTTGATTTCAATCCTTCAAAGAACCAACTTTTGATTTTGTTGATTCTATTGTTTTTCTGTTCTCTATTTCATTTATCTCCACTCTAATCTTTATTTTCTTCCTTCCTTTTAGCTTTGAGCCTAGTTTGTTCTTCTTTTTCCAGTTCCTCAAGGTTATTGATTTGAAATATTTCTTCATTTTTAAAGTAGTGATTACAGCTAAAACATTCCCGCTGAGCATTTCCTTCGCTGCATTCCATAGGTTTTGGTATGTTGTGCTTTCATTTTCATTCATGTCAAAGTATTTTCTAATTTCCTTTGGGATCTCTCTTTGACCCATTGGTTGTTCGGTAGTGTGTTGTTTCATTTTCACATATTTATGAAATTTCCAGTTTTCCTTCTATTGCTGGTTTCTACTTTCATTCCATGTTGGTTAGAGAATATAGTTTGTATGATTTCAGTCTTTTAAAACTTATTGAGACTTGTTTTGTGACCTGGAATATGATCTGTCCTAGAGCGTGATCTGTGTGCGCTTGAGAAGACTGTGCCTTCTGCTGTTGTAGGCTGGAAGGTTCTTAGATTTCTCTTAGGTCCAGCTGGTTTACGTTGTTGTTCTTGTTAGGTGCCATCAAGTAGATGCCAACTCGTAGCGATCCTGTGAACAGCAGAACAAAACACTGCCCAGTCCTGCTCCATCCTCGTGATCATTGCTATGTTTGAGACCATCCTTGCAGCCACTGTGT